AGACATTAAAAATAATTGTTTTCTCTTTTTGTACCAATAATTGTTTTTAATACGAACAATCGTAATCGTAATATTGTATAGAACTGTTGATTGCACTGGATCGAGTGTAACGTGTACTCGCAAGGATGTAGTGTTGAAAGACTTACGATAATATTATTGAATTGAAAAGAAAAACGTCACTTGTTTGTGATCCAATAAAGCTTGCGACACTTACGTGTCGACGAAAACATTTTGACTTTTGACTTCTGACCCAAAACTCCAAAACAACTTAAATATGTGTGAGAAACTCGTTAAGTCATACGTGCGCCTTGTCCACGATTCCGATCGGTCATCGGCGGCGATGGGATCACACCACGGACGATCGCACCGTAAGCGGAAGACGCGGACATCAAACGGAACAGGAGTGGCTAAAAAATAGGTTTTGAAAATTCATCGCGGAGGACCTAACCTTGTACCGGGTCCTCTCCCTCAAGTCCTTCCGCCGCGGACGCGACAAAGAACGTTCAATCCGACCGCCGACACGTGTTTATTTTTCGAAACCAGTCGGCGGCGCGCACAGCATCGTCGTTACGTGTGTCGTACACTTCTACGCGATTAATGACCCGTCGGGTAACTACCGTAATCGGATTTTATGCGCCGTACGTGCGAAAATCGAACGCAATCCTTTCGCCGCCATGTGATCTTTTTTTTCTTTCGTCTCGGATCTTTCGCTTTTTTTTTTCACTCCCCATCCTCCTACTGCTCCTGTCAATCCTCTTCCGGATGCCGTTCCTACGTGGCTGCCGTCATAACGCGTGTAAAAAAAAACCCAATCGGTATCGATATTGGTAATTTAAAAAAAAATAATACTAAATATATGTACATGATTCTCGATCGTCCCGAGTCGGCTCAAGGTCGCCCGACCATCTTGTCTGGCCGCCAATCGTTTTGATAAAGATGATTATAATTATAATAATAACAACAACAACCATTGTGTTAGTATGCGCACGTGCTGTAAGGTATCCTTACTAAGGATACGGACGAAGACTAACGCGCGCCGACCCGATAACGCGGCAACACGTTCAAGCTTCAAGAGATTAGCACATCGCGTCTCGTCGTTGGTCCGTTTGCATATGTTCCACTCGACTTTTCACACCAATCCACCTACCCTGGTTTTTCACCACCCTGCCCGATCCGTTCGATTTTCAGGTTTTTCCGACGACGCGTGTCATTCGCTCCAATCTGTTTGACGTACCGGCATCACGGCCGGCCCTAGAGGGGGGCAATAGGTGCGATCCCAATTACGTACGCAAATCGCAACCCGTGTGGTCGTTTGGTTTTCTCTTGTCGTTATCGACGGAAATTAAGACAGTACGGATACCGCTTGTGAAAATGTCGACGACGGTTATAAACATATTTTTAATACATATTTAGTTAAATATTAAACATGAAAAAACATAGATTTCTGTGTACAATTAATAAATTAATATCAGGGGCGTATTTACGGGAGGACGAGAGGGCCTGGGCCCCCTCCGAAATTAAAAACACTATTGTTAAAGATTTTTATTTTTAACACGAATATGTCTTAATGCTGGGTGTTTCCGAAAATTTGTTGCGACAATGAGAATGTTGCTTATGCGATCATTTAAAATTTTATATTTATAAAATATGTTTATTCTTTTAAGAAAATATGTGGTGAATTTTGAGTGACTCTAATAAAAAATTTGTTTATTACAATGTAGTTTTTATACTTTTAAAATATAATAAATCATTAAAAAAAATTGAGTTTCTTATTTCTCTGTTGGTGTAAAGACAGTCGAGTTGTCTTATAGTGTTAAAGTAATTTTTTTCGTAATAGTGTGCTTCCTCCTTCCCTTCCACCCAAAAATCAAATACATAATCGGCCCCCTCCGAAATGAAAACCTATATACACCACTGATAAATATACATAAATGGGGCCCCGCAAAATTCTGCACCGGGCCCCGAAAACCGTCGGGCCGGCACCACCACCGTCGTCTACTTTCCCTCGCTCGCCATCTGGACAACTTGCGCATGATAAATCCAATGTTGAAACTCATATCCGTGTTGCACTTTGGTCCGTTGATTCGTTCGAATTCGTCTGCGCCCCCGTGCATACGACGATCGTATGCATTCGCGTAAAGTTTCATTTTGAAAACGATTCCACAGCCATGTTTTCCCCGGAGAGCTTATCATACTCGCAGAACATAGAATACACACTTTTCGACTGTTCGGAATTCAATTTTTTCATTTTTTTTTTTTTCTCGAATTGTGTACGTGGTGACGATATGATACGTACTGAAGTTTTTAGAAAACGAATTAAATATTGAAAAATATTGATAAACCGAGATAACTAATTTTACCAACGTCACACGGATGATACGTACTGAGAATAAAACTACTGGTATCTTTGATTCCGTTCGCAAAACTTCCACATCGTCGCGTATTCCAATCGCTATTCGTCCGTTTCATACCGTACTCAAACGCGATGACCAAGCCCCGAGTGTCGCGTATCCTTCGGTTCGCTCCTGGCTCGTCCTCTCTGCTTTTGGAAACCGGATTCGCCGTATAAAACACGTGCGCGCGCGTACCGACCGGCCGTACGGTGTAACGCGCACTCCGTACACCGTTCCGAGAACACGTTCGCTCCCGAGCCCCTCCTCCACCGGTCTCTCGCCTTTTTTACTAAAATATTTCTACTGCGCATTTTTTTCATTTTTCATTTTTCTTTTTTCACCGACGTGCGCTCGCTGGCATATCGTCGTCACGGCGTGTACGGGGATACGTCGATACGATCTCACGTGCTCGAAAGTGTTTACAGGGCGATCGGAATCGACGTGACACCGGTTCCGTCGTATCGCGCGCGCGAGATGCAAGAACGTTATAGTACGAGAAAGAAAATAAATTAAAAATATGATTTTTACGAAATTGTATAACATGAAATTCGTGCGCGCGTGTTCCGCGTTCGTCTGCGACTCCGAGAAAATCCCGTAAAGTATTTTACTGTATTTTTTAGGAGCAATTTTTCTTTCGGGCCTAGGAAATTCAAAATCGAATCGATACTCAGATGCTAGCCCATTATCTATAGTATGAGCAATGCATAATAGTACAATTGTCAAGAAAAATAACAACTGTCTAACAAGTTGATTAATTGAATTCCCGAATAAAATAAAACATAATATTTTAAATTTATAAACTTGGCAACGTAGCCTAAAAAAAAACGTTCGCAATCGTTCGGTTTTCGGCTAAAACAAAAAAAAAAAAATCATTGATAAGTGGCATTCGTTCGCAATCGTGTTATAAAAAAGATGTAACGTTCGCAATCGTATTGTACCCGCCACGAGGACCCTACTTGTCAGAACCTGCAGGGGCCTCCGGGACCCCACTGTTGGATTCTGTGATCATTTAAGTATCGCATACATGAATACATATAATTTATATGAATACAGTGGTTGACATATTATTACTATATTAAATTATGTATACATTGGGTCTTGTTTTTGACTATTTATAGCATTATAGCAAAACTTGGTTTGTTTTCCCAGGAAATTGCTTATCGACGACGTCGACAATCAATGTATCATTATATTATTCTATTCAGTGGTATAAGGTATTAAATATTTTCGAATATTATGTTTTTAGTACTATACTGTCTAGATAAAATGTGTTTGATAATATTTAAATATCATCACTACTAATCTGAAGGTTTAATAATATATCAATAATATACCTAAACTTTTTATTATATTATCAATTGTTTCTTGACCGAACCTAATGTTTGTAGCAGAAATCTTAATGTCCAATGAACTAGACTTTTCACATTTCGTGTTCTTTAGTAAAGTAATGCTGTGTGTGACTTCAAGTCAATCCATCATTGTAGAAATTCCTCTTTGTCTAATGACATGTATACCAATGATTTTGATCGTCGCAAAATCTAACAGAATTTTTGTAAATAATATCAACATTTGAAACATCGTTTCTCATTGAATATAGTGAATTTATTATTACCTGTTAATTATCATTGAATAATAAGTCTCAATGTTACCATTTAAATTTTAATGTTTTATGCTTTGAATAAAAAACATAAACTTGTGACGCTCGCAGGGCGGGCCACGGCCCATCTGCCCGCCAGGTGATGCCCGCCATTGTAACACATCGCACTCGGACGTAAAAAACACGTGGACCATCCTTACCGAGTCTCCAAACTTTCGCACCGAACAGGATTATTATAACGTAAAACGATGCGTCCGTTTATTGTAATGCGGTCGCGTGCACATAACTGTAGTACTATAAATATCTACGGCCGAACGTCAAGGACTCGAGGATCGAAAAGGATACGAAAGATAGGAATAAGGCATATAGGTATAAATAATTGTTTACAAATTTTTTTTTTTTTCGCATCGTATGTTATTATTATTATTATTATTAAAACAATATTCAGGTGCATGACGTACGAATTTCACATTGTACACATTACGCGTATACGTATGAAGAAAAAAAAAAATCATAATAATCACGTCGTGTAATGAAAAACGGATCACACGCACGCACATAATATCATGTATAAATTTATTCTACGGTTATAAAATACGCTTACACTAACAACACGTAATGTTAATTATCATATTTTAATATTAACTGGTATGATCTTATAAATACAATTATATATTGTCCACGTATGTATAAACGTATCGATCACATGTTGTCGTTGTTTGTACGGCGGACAACGCAGCAATGGTGCACCGCGTCGACATTCGTGCAAACGAACGTAACCGAATAAAAACGATAATAATATTATTAACGCGAAATCGTAATATAATAAAATAATATTAATAATAATTATAATGATAATAATATAATGTATACGTATTGGCGCTAAAATTAAGGTAAAAAAAAAAAAAAAAAGAGAGAGAGAGAGAGAGAGAGAGAAAGTCTATAATGATAATATGACGAATCGCGCGAGCTTAACGTAGTAATAATAATAGAAAAATAATACAACAAAATTACGTATATAAATTATTTTTATACAATAACATACAAGGATATTCATATGGTTTGTATAGAAATTAAACTAAACATCGTGTTACGTAAATTATTAAAATATTATATTTTTACGCGAAGAATGTTCGACCGATTTTACGTCTCCCTACACCGGTTGGTATTTATTATTTTCGTATATTTTTTTACGTATTATTATAAAAACCGTTCTGATTTGTATATTATTTATAAATACGTATGGTACACGCGCGTTCGGTTACGCACAAACAAATATGTACACAGTCGTGAACTTGTTTACAAACTCTTTCTTTTGCCGTTCGAACGCTATTTTTATTTATTTTTTTTCAATTTTTTTTTTTTTTCAGTTCATATTTATCGCACGAACAGTAACAATTATAACGATGATAATACAACTATTATTACTATTAAACTATCGCGTTGCATTCATCTATTTTTTGTTCGTCGTACGAGTCGTGAGTATGTAATATACAATTTACGTTTTAATAATAATAATAATAATAATAATAATAATAATAATAATACTATTTTATCTATGTACGAAACGCAACGAAACTCCGGACACAGCGTTTATATAGTGTACAGATAACTGTGCGAAGACGCGCGCCGGGTCGGTCTTCGGATTTTTAAAAGAATTATTGGTTTCCTTTTCTATTTTTTTTTCATACAAAAACGTTTTTCTAAGCCAAATGCTATTCGTTTTCTTCCCGTGGAGTGCGGGAGCGGCGCGGAGTTTCCATGCGTTTCGTATCCTGACTAACTAAGTAAAAAATAAAAATAATAATAATAATAATAATAATAAATCGCAAATACATACACAATATATAATATGTATTAAGAATTAGAATAAGAAAAAAAAATAGTAATAAAAAGCTCACGAAATCGAGTCTGAGCTTGTCGCGCGAGCAAGTGTGTGTATATATGTATAATGTAGCAATGTATATATATATATATATATATATATATATATATATATACATGTCCATCAGTCGAGAACAAAACGAAAGAACCTATAATATATTTAACTTTTGTTTAAAATTAATTTTTTTTTTACGCTTTTTGAATATATTTTCTTATTTTTAAATAACTATCGAGAAGTCGTCGTCGTTCCTCTTCGCGACATCCTCTGCGAATGTAGCTCATCGTATAATCTAACATATATATGAATATATAATAAAGATATTATACATAAATATATATATATAACGTGGAAAAGTTGCTGCTCGCGCGCTCTAGTCCCACTCGCCGACGTACATCGGAGTCCTGTGATTCGTGGGTATGTATCCTCGGGTGGGTATGGGCAGCCGTCCGTAGATGTGGTTGTACGGCGAATCGAACACTTCGGCGTCTGCGGAAAACGAGAGGGAGGGCAAAGAAAAGGGGACAAAATACGCGTTTAGTACACAATTATAAAACGGTTACGGTAAAACTAATAATGTATCGCAGTACGTCGAGTTAATAATCGCTTACGGAATCGTTTGGTCCGCGCTTTCGTCGCATACGTAACCCCGTTGTTTATCAAACTTTCAAGTGCAGAAACGGATAAAATACGATCGCTTCACGCGAGTGTGCCGAATCGTCGGTTATTTACGATTGTTGGTTTTCAACCCCGCAAAGCGTTTAACGATTACTTCCGAGCGACTAACCCAACCCCCCGGCTTGGGAGACAATGCCTTGGCGCGGCAGGCAGGATTTCGACTACAGCTGTAGGTTTCCGCCCGTGTCCCGGAGGACACGGTTGGCCATGATCGTCAAGCGAGTTTCTAAAACAGTGATCATCAACCCGAGATACCGTTGGATTCCGCACGTATCCGGTAAGCTTGGTCGTGCGGTAACCGTGCGGAAAGTCGAGAAAACAGTCGTCTGACGCGTACTTTTACTAGCGACGACCGTATCGTTTACGCTGCGTCGTCTGCCGCGAAACGGGTTTGTAAAAAAAAAAAAAAAGTTAGAAGAAAACGGGTTCGGAAGGACAAAATAATGTTGCGCAACATACACGCGCAGGTTTTTTGCGCGCAGCACAACCTTACCTCGGGCACAAAGACAGTTCTCGTGCAATCGATTCACTGTTTACGTGCGATGCGCGATCGAGTCACGAGAAAACGTAAAAGAGATTTGTACGAAAGTGAAACGCGAAACGCCGGGTCGATAAGCGCTTTCGACAGTCCCTGATGGGGCGATGCGTGTTGTCGTTGCCTTCGAATTCCGCGTCGTAAGGCACAGCCCGTGTTTCGTCGATCGGGACAAACGATGTTTGTTGAAACCGTGAGGGTTCTGAAAATGGAATCGATACCGAACGCCACGCGAGATCGATCGAATATTTTATTGCACATTTTATCGTCCTGAACGGTCTCCGCGCCGATACCGATCCCATCTACCCTTATCGTTTCGATACGCATCGACCGACGGAAAACGGGTAGTGCCTGCCGTGTTGAACGCAGTTCACTAACGTTCCGCGCGAAACAAATCTACAGGGACAACAGACGCGAGTACTGTGTGCTCACCCATTCCGCTGTCGAAGCTGCGCGTGTGCCACATGGCGGGCTGCGTGTGATGATGGTAGTGCATGTTGGTGGTGGCCAGGTGTCCGTTGGACAGGGCCATCGAGTTCTGCAGCTGGTACCGGGACGGCGGCACGGCTGTGCTCATTTTCGGGCCGACATGCACGTCCTTGCCCGCCTCCTTGGTCTTGCCGTTCGAGGTCTTGACGAAGTTCGGCACTCTGGCTCTCAGTCCGCAATAGTACGGGTCGTCTGGAAACGAACGCGAAATTACTATTACCGTGTACATGACCGCAACTATGAACAATAGTCCGCTGGACAACAATTATACAATCTATAGACACCCGGTAATGGTTTTCAACGTTTTATGAACCACTTTTATTTTTTATTTTACTCTCCCACTGCAATACGATCCGTTTAAAAAACTTATAAAAAAAAAAAAAAAACCATAAAACTATAACACCTATAAAATGTTAAACGAAATGCGTTTTATCCGTTTTGGTGAATTCTCGATAATCACTCGTGTCGAAAACCAAGTGTATATCGACGTTCCCCCTTCTCACACCGCAGTAGCGAACATAATTCGATTCGAGCGAAAATAACGCATAGCCACTCGCAGTACTCCAACTACGAAGATTTTTTTTTTTTTTGTTTTTTAACGCACTGTAATTGTGCGCCGGCAGTAGGTGCTCGTTAAAAATATTTAATGTTTACCGCCGCAGTAGGTACATACGTGCAGACGATGCCGTTTAGATATTATACGCGTGTACATGTATACAGTGAAAGTACATTTGGCAGCCGGTTTTGCCTGTTTCAGCCTTTCACTTGTTGCAGTTTTATTTAATTTCAATTTTTTTTTCCACCGCTCATTAACATCCGCACGGCAACACATGCGAACCGGTAATTCGGACGAGAATCGCGCGTGTTGTTTCATACTGTTATGTTATAGCATAGCGCGTTACTTCCATAAGATTCGCGTTTCCGTTATCATAACTATTTGTAGCTGGTGTGTTACGAACATTGTTTTACCAAGCAGTTGTTATATCTGAAAATCACGTCTGCAAAGGAATGCCGACGTACACCCGACGAGTACGATCCACCGGAGTCCGTTATCAAAAGTCCAGGGGGACATGAGTGATCTACGCCTATCTGCCTCTCGGCGATCGTTATCGATAGGTAGTTAGTATCTATTCGTCCCCCCCCCTCGTCAGTGACGGTGCTAGAGTTCGCGAGGCCATATAAATGGCAAAATAAATGTTATATTAATAAAATATTTTAAGTTCAGTTAAATCAGAACCGTGAGGCCTTAATTATAATTTAAGGCGCGGGGCCCTGGGCAACTGCCCCTATTGCCCACCCCCTCGCGTCGTTCCTGCTCCTCCCCCGTTGTAAAGTTTTATCCACGAGAGACAAAATTAGCTATAATACTGTACAATATTGTAATAGTATAATCGATACGGAAAATCCCAGAGAGGACATATACTTGCTCCCCTCCCAATGGACGCCTTTGTTGTGAAGAGTTGAATTTTAAAATTAACACGGAATTTGAGTTCAGCGTTTCAAAAATCTTTTAACTGATATTCGTTACATGAAATGCATACGTAACAAATTAAAAATGGAACAAATCACGTCGGTAAAATTAGATTTCAGACCACCTTGTAAGTGTTTTACAGATTATTTTCTTTCGAAAATTTTGATAATATTACCGTACGTAATCTCGGCGAAACGGAATTATACCGGGAACGTATACCGGTTAGTACCTACAGTGAGTCTTGGTGCAATAAAAAGAAAACGAAAACTGTAGCAGGTGAACGAAAACGATCAATATTACTGTCGATAACTGCAGCACCAAGACGGGTACGAGTGTTACGTGCAGTACGGTTCTTCCTTCGAAATATCATCACGACCTTGCAAGGAGGCGGTTAGATTTCCACGACAATGTTTGTATTTAAATTCTCAACACGGCCTTTCGTACCGGATGGTTTACGCAGAAAATAATGAATATCAATATTACGTTATAATGTAGAACAGAGTGTATACGAGCGTGTTTACGAGCACAACGTGCGCTACAAATACGCGGCCAAATAAGTTGGCCGCGGGTCATGTATTATATTACTGTCGTTATTATTTTTGTTATTATTATTATGGCCATCGTAAACCCGGAGAAACGTGTTTTCTAATATTTATTTTCACGGCAAACGGATTTCGCTGTCGGATCATCGCGCGGCCGACGATACACATTTGATGATAAAATTATACGACGTGCGGCGCGAACGATTATCGCAATGTTATTATGTTATTATTAGCCGTCCGTGCATAATACTCGTGTATTACGAACCGCAGCGATAGGTATATCATAATAATATGCTGTCGAGATTGACGGCATTGCGAAACTTTGAACGCTGCTGCTGATCCAGCTGAAGCCCCTGCACGCGAATGTGCAACATTGTAATGCAAGTAGTCTATCTACACGTAATAATAATTGTAGTACCGAAGTCGCACCTCCGCCGTACGGATTATGCGTTCTTGTGCAATTGGCCGAATATTAGCACCGTTGCGCGAGCAACGATCGGTATCTGTCGGCTATGGAATCCGGTCGGAGGATTTTGCGTACGGGTACCGCCGTCGTCATTAATATTAATTAATTAATTAATATTAATATTAATTATTAACTTACGGATCTATCCGATTCTAGAGCAAAAGATAAATAATATTCACCGTATTTCTTATTGTTGTCCTTGACTTTGTCCTTTCCCCTGGACGAGGTAAACTGTTTCATGGTGCCGGCCAATCTGTTTTCTTCTTCTTCGATGTCATCGTAGTCCGGCTGCGATCATAGAAAAATAAAAAAAATTAGAAAAACCGTCCGACAAGCGTTTTCCGTAACATCGTCGTTTAAAACATATACATATACGAGTATATATACGAGATATAAAGATGTTTATTGTATGCAGCCTTAAAGTACCTACAAAGAAAACCGGTAGACAGAAAATACTTAAAATACATAATTGATTTTGGGTATACAACAATACGAGCGGATGAGAACTGTTGAAGCTTTTAGGTACCTGTTAACCATTGTTTATACCAAAAACCGTGGGATTGATATGAGTACTAGCACGTAGTACGGAGGGATTTCAGTTCCTTGGCGTGTAATCCAACCCATTCCTGAGCCCTCCCAAGTTCTCTTTCGATATTCAACATACCAACATTTATCTCCGAGTCGTTACACTGAGAATCTATGTACGAATATAAGCTCTGTACAAACAGGTGTTTCAGCATAAGAGCGTACAAGCGCATTGGAATGCATTACGTTCGCGAACTGAACAACTACACACGACGAGTCGATTGAGCATTAACGCGGAAGACGTGATGATTGTTTTCAATCGAAACCCACGTACCTTGGGTATGTCGTGCGGGTACGGGTTGGAAGGGTCCCTGGGCGGCAGTTTCGGCGGCTTGTCGCCTCGGCGCGCCGCGGTCTGCATCATCAGCTGTTCCCTGGTCGCGGCCACCATGTTGGCGCCCGCTATGCTGTACGGGTCCTCGTCCGGGATCGGGATCCTGGGCCGGTTCTTGATGTCCACCGTGGTGCGCTTCACTGCGTACACAACAAACACGCACGACGACGGAGATTAAAGAAAGGCGAAGAACGCAAAATGAACACTTAAATACTTAAAGACGGAGATACGGATAGAGAGGAAAAATAGTAGAAAAAGAGCTGAATAACGGAGAGAAAAAAAATCGGAAAACCACATAATGGCGTGTAAAAAAACCACCGCGTCGTCGCCGAACGGAGCTGCGGTGAGCGAGATCGGCACCGGTCTCACACGCGAAGGCGGCGACGGAGCCGTGTGGCTGATTAGTGTCCGGTTTGACGCGACCGTTTTGAACCATAAACCGATGGAAATCGATACCGAGTTCAAAATATATGTACATACATTTTCGTGCCACTCACCGGACCGGAGCGCAGGTCGTCCCTTTTTAAGAGTGTTTTAACAGCGAGTCCGCATTCCCCATAGCCGTCTGCTCCCCGACCCGATTTATAAGTACCTCACCGACGGCCGAGAACGTAATATGTGTTCTCGCGTCGTCTCTCTCTCCCACTCTCTTTCTCTCTCTCTCTCTCTTGTGTCTGGGGAAAAAAAGTCATGACCGCGATACTCATCACCGGATAACGGTTGTGTACGTTGTGCTGGTACCGTCGCCGGCAACCTGCGAAACGGATTAATCGCGGGCGAGCTGCTCCCGGGCCAATTATAAGTTCACCCGCGCTACGGGACCCTCTCGTCGGTAAGAACTGTGACGAGATATCGTGGCGACGGACACGACGACGACCATTGCGGTGTAACGGACAGCGTAACGGGCTCCCGGGACCACCCACGGCGGGGACGGTCGCGCAACAATATCATCGACTAGCAGACATTTTTTTCCCGGCCGCGATCGATTTCCGTCTTCGCGTACGGATGACGTTCGTACACGATCTCGTACACGTAATATTCGACGTCCTCGAAGGATGCACGGCCGTACGCGCACACGTTACCGTTATTACACGTCAGATCCGTCGAACAGTGAACGATAAACGGAACGCACGCCCGCGCGATAAAATATTTGACGATCGACGTGATCCGATGCAGGAGTATCACACGACTCGCGAACCGGCCCGTTATTGAACCGGACGTTACGGGGAATATTCTCGATGCGCGTTGGACGGCGATTTATGTTGTCCGCCGACGGTTCGTTAATCTAACGAGCACAACGCGTGCAACCGTTTTATTACCGTCGAAAACCTTAACGATCCGAAACGCGTTCCCGCGGACTCTACGAGATTTACAAGTTTTATTTTTGTTTTTTTTTTTTCTTTCGTTTTCAACTCCCTTGAGATCTAGTCCACCGTGTACATTTTATCGTAACAAGTCGAATAGACGGAAGAAAAAATAACGATGCGTTTTTCGAGTCACTGAGCCGCCCGCGGGGTCACGAGTTTTTCGATTGAGCACTGAAGGGACACCACAACGTACGGTTATTCGACAACGTTTCCGAGGAGCATATTGTTATCCATGATACGTGGGCCGAAGTATCCGGTTACGTGCTACGACGTCGGACTACAGTAAAAACCCACACGCGGCCGCGGCGGTCGAAGCAAATATTATCTCATACGAGGGCGCACGTTCAATAACAACAAACGCGATTGTTAATATCATTATAATGAACACGTATCGTTATTGTTATTGTAGTTTCCGCGAGTGGTGGAAGTGCGAAAAAAAAGTGGATCAGAAATTTCACCGATTTCAAAGTTGTAGGGTAGCAAAAACATAAAACGACGTCTATTTAAGAACAACCGGGAGGAATTGTTTTTTGATCTTCTTTTAAGCGTACATCGATGTCAATCATTAAGGTTTCTCGGATCATACGAATTTGTGCATAAATAATTGTAGTGTCATCGACGACCCGTGTTCTTCGCATGAAATTAGAAACGATTCACAGCAAATGCTGTACGGATGTCTTGACGGGGTCCGCGCGTGCAGCTGCGGACGGATCTGGTTAAATATCGTGAAATATCGACAATCGCGGACATTGGCGTCACTAAGGGGTATCGAGCGGTATCTCTGATACACTAAAAAATGTTGTGGGGGTATCAAGGGTATCTTTTGTTACACCAAAAAAAGTTATACATTTTAATAATATATTCAAAGTTTATTATTCAAGTGTGTACGAACATAAACCATCTATTATTCTGATTGTATCCAAAATAGTTATGTTTTGTGATAAATCCAATACGAACAATAAGTCAGTGTGTACACTACACATCATACCAAGATTTACGAAGAAGAGTTAGCCAGTTAAGTAAGCCAGTTAAGCCGGCAAGGCAGTTATCCTCATGTTATTAACCTTTAAAATGTAGTTTTTAACTTTCTAAAAATAAACTTTGCTACCCCAAAATTTGGACTTAAGTGACGCCTACGATCGCAGGATTCGGGCGGTTCTCGCGGTCAGCCGTCGCGCTATCGACAACGAACGGGTACGAATACGCGTCGTACGAATCGCGCCGGGGTTCAGTGACCCGAATCGTACACATTGTGCACAGGACCGCGGACGGACAATAATTGTGTTCGGCCACCTCGATGGGAACTCGGGCCTCCGGGGTCCGGGCGCTAATCAAATCGCGGTCCTGTGACCAATCGCGTAAGAAATCAGGAGACCCCTTCGCGCATTGTTCGCGACTGTCCGCGGGCGCACATGTCTCTCTCACGGCTCACTCGCGCGCGTATCATTACAATTGTCCGTTTGGCACGTAATTCAGTCTGTACTTTGTGCGTGTGTGTGTGTGTGTGTGTGTGTGTGTATGTATTTGTGTAAACGCGTGGCACCCAATTGTCGATCAGAAAACGTTCGCATTCTCGTTCGCATCCTCAAAATCATCCGATTCGAAATCGGAGCGACGGAAATCCGTCGAAAATATCTTGCGTTCACCGTTTACCAAAAATCGCCAAACTTCCGGCAGCCGAGCGACGTTCCGGTTTCGACCGCATACAACCGCGCGGTACGATTGGTCACGAGTAATGGCTACGAAGTGGTGATGGAGGAATCGGAAGACCGAGCGCATACGACGCGACACGCGGCTCTGGGCGAAAACGGAAAACCAAAAGTGATTCGGTTCCACGTGTGCGCCACATACGGAGGGAACCACGGGAACAAGGGAGAAAATCGGTACCGAGAAATGCGCTCTTACTTGGTGGCAATTTTGACTTGAGCATATCCATGGCCACGACGTTAATGATTAACACCCATATGGGGCTGTCCAACATGTCCGGTTCGTTCTTGACGAAGCTGATGGCACTTAAACACTGACACTCCAAACGCCTGCGGTCCGGGTACGCTCTGCGCAGTTCTCTGGACACGTTCTGTTGGAATTTTTTCATGTCGAACAACTGAAAAACGGACGAAAAATTAATCGATATCGAAACCCCGGTGAAAACGTGCGCGCGCGTGACTCAAACCAGCGGATCCGACGAACGGACCTAAAGTGCGGGCTGAGGATTAGGTTCGTATCGCATGCACCGGATAAAATCGATAGGGTGTAACACACGTGTAGCTCATGGAAGTCGGTCCCGAAAGTCCTTTTGTGTACGCGTCACACGGATAACAGCGGGACGGTAGGACAAAGACCACCGCCAGGGGCGAAAGCAGGAAAACATTGCTGGGACGCTTAGAAAATGTGTGAAAAGATAACAAACAGCATGTTCTATAACTCATTATGTGTAAGTATTTACTGATTTTATTCGCGAGTCTCATGGAAAACTTCGAAATATTCGATTTGTAGGTTATTGTATTATATACGTTATCTTCTAAATTTTTATAACTAACACGTGATTACATGAGGGACATTGGTCTCGGTCGATCACGTGGAATCCGACCGAGGGACGTTCTCCGAAGCTATGTAACGTGGTCGAGGTGAGTAGGTTGGATTTAAGATGCCCAGGGAGAATCGGGTTGTGTTTCCACAGGTGCAAACGTATATCAAGACCTTAACGAAATGACTTCAATCAGCAATTATACAATCTAATATGTTGACAAGGAACGCACACAGATCACCGCCGTCTCTTCGGTATTACCAATGGCATAGTTACGGGGAGTGTAAGGGGTTTTACCCCCCCCCCTCGATTTTATTTCTTAATGATATTTTCCATTTTATTTTAATGATACCATTTTAAGTGTAATATTATTATATTAAGATTTACTAAGAATATTATTAATCGACGCTTAAACACCCCCTCCCCCAGAAAAAATTGTATCCACGCCGTTGAGTATTACGATTCCGGTATTCGTGTAGTTAAACAATACAATACGGTAGTGGCGCCGACGCTTGCGCGTTCCTACCGACGTGTACGCAAGTGTTGACTCGGCACAAGACGATCGCGACGAATGCGAGTTCCAACGGACACCTTCGCGCAATAGGAATGCGTTTACCGATCGAAAACAATTGTCACCGGCAAGCTAGAGGTGGTCGAACTAATTACCGGGGCATCGGGAATTACCATTCAATGAACTCGAGACGAGATGCACGTCTTCCGGGGGGGGGGGGGGGGGGGGGAACAACAACGACGAGATGATGACAATAATAGGATCGGAAAGACAGAGAGAGAAAAAAATCGAACGGGCATTGTTCTGCAGTTTCTTCCCAACTCGGTCCGTGTCTTTTTTGACCTTCGCGAAAAAGCTTATCTCCATTGGAAACGACGGATAGGAAAAAAAAAATAAACAAAAAAATGTATCGGTCTGTCAAACCATAACTCTCTAATTACGTTTTGTTCGGTTCGTAAGCCATATAATTCACACACTCGGTAGAAAAAAAAAAAAAAAACTGTCCTGACAATGATGATGATGACCACCTGACTTTATCGATTTTTTTTTCGCTTTCCATAAGTACGTTAATGGACTCTCGAGGATATACGCGTAATCGTTGTTTTTCAATGAATAATAATGCATTACATTATATTGTTTGCGTTTGTGCGCGCAGAACCAATAACGCGGAAAGATGGTTTTTTTTTTTCCAAATCTGATGGCGTGTGACTGTATATATATATACGCGTACGGGGAAAACAAAACAAAATAAAAATAAGCTATGATCAACCATCGAATACACGAACGACGTAGAAAAATTAATGATTTAAAACCGGAAAATACGCGAAAGCTCTTGTTCTATAGTTGTTAAGAACGCGCTCCGAACATAACATCCGATCGGTTTGTTCGGATTTGCATAACATTCATACAGCGATAATTTTAACATTGAACATTGGACGCATTTGTCATCGGTACAAGGATTATTCGGTATTATTAAAAGTCATACTGAACACATTACACGTTTTACAAGAGCTGTGGGTATGATTGTACGTATGTTAATGAAAATCCTTGGTAAGACACTGTGTGTGCACAACGTTCTATTGTTTATTATTATCGGAACAACTGTTGCGGGTACGGTTTCCGTTTGATGAAACTATTTGCCCGAAGCTCACATCCGAACGCGTTTCACCGATATCGTTTCGTATCCGTGCACAGCAGATAGCTTATTACAATAAATATACTACGTGTACACGTAAGTTCGAACGGGACCTCAATCGAATTCGATGAGGTCTGGAAGAGAGAATCGGCTACAGCATGATTCGTAAACGACCGACAACGGTACACACTGGTTCAAATTTATCACTATTTATCTCCGTCACGAATTTGAGTGTTATATTTTTGTGTCGACTCGAAACCACCCGGGACGGTCGAATCCGATGCCAGGGTATTGAACGTAGTACGACGGAAACAATGAGATTTCCGAACGGAGAACGTGTTAGTCGGCCGGTCGCAAGCAACAGCACCACGCAATAATGATGAGCTTCGAGTGCGCTAAACATTATAGCGCTATCATTTAGTTTTTTGTTCTTACAAGCAATATTTCTTACATTCCATATTGTGTGATATGTAGGTCCACTGAGGTCCACTAAGTAATAACGGTTAAACTTGACTAAAACAATATTTTCGAGCGACAGAATAGTAGTGCCACCTGACAAGGCTTATTTTTAATTAATTATTACCAACGGGTAATTGTTTTTTTTTTTTTTTTTTTTTGTATGTATCAAGCTAGTCCCTAGGCTGTATTAACTTTTATTTTTTTTATTTTCTCGGTATGGAAATGTAGTTACGGAAATAATTCGATGTAATGGAACATGGTCAGATCGTTATGGGTTGATAGTTTTAGATCCCTGCGAAGATTTTTGTTGCTTGCCAACGGACAGAGGTTATTGAGGACATATTGATTGAAAGGGTTTTGTAGGGTTTTGGTGGTCGGCACGTAAAAGTTAAACGCGTGATTAACATCGTCGGACTTGCGAGTTTTGAAATACGTCTCAAAATCCAAGTATACGCGCTGCAAAAACAAGCGAATCATTACGTGCCGCGATCACGCGTCGTTTCAGTACATGCATGTACGTTAGGACGGCGCGCGCTCGCATATTGAGTACGCTATAGTAGCGCAATGCACGTCGATCCAAACAAACGAGCGCATTACAATCCCCTCGTAGAGAGATAGCATAACGTTCGAAGAGAGAGGTTTATTTTAATTTGAACGATTCGCGGGCGCGGTCGGACGCATGTGGGGGAAGGAGCGTGGTTTTTATAGAAGACGACGAGTTAGCGCTTGTATATGATTATGCATACGTACACGACGACGGTGGAGACGTACAAGTCGGAACGCTGTCTATCCGGGCCGGTAGGGGTGCAGAAGCTACGAAGGGGGAGGAAGTGACCCGCACGTTGTTTCGTTTTGTCCCGCGGTCGACCGGACGTACAACAGCCGGGTCAACCGTAGCTGCTGGCGAGGACCATCAGCGGTCGACTATCTTAATGTGCACACACGCAGCCTCTCGTCACCCCGCCGGCGCACGACCTCCTCGCCACATGACCGACTTTGTGTTGCCACTGCGCGCGCGCGCGCCTACCGACCATAAATAATAACAATAACACAAACGCGGTAAATGGTAAAGCGTCTCGTGGCTGCGGTAGCGGTGGTAGTACCCCTCGACCGTATATTGACATGCGTGCAATGGAGTTTTTATTGTTTTAAAATTTTTTTTTTTTTTTTACGAACCGGTTGCACGATGTTTCACCGCCGCCGTCGATTCGTAACAATGTTAATCGTATATTGATGCATAAAATGCTGCACGGTGCAACATCGCGTCTGGTAACTGCCCTGGGAAACTTTTTCTCCTCCCGTCGAATGCACACAATAAACAGTGTATTCAGATCATCTGTTTGACATCTCATTGTCTTTATGTGCCTCCGGACGACAATAATCGGAACTATAACGTATGTTATGTTACGATAAGTCGCTTATGCCCACTCGACGGGTCCCTTTTGCCCCGACCTAACGGCGAGGCGCATTACGACTGCGCGCGTCTTATAAACCCGCTAACGTCCGAGAACGTCATCGGTTCGTCACGTCCACGAGCAATATTCCGCGCGGGTGATCGGAGATACTATAAGCCTTCATAGCCGCCGCCTCCGAGTTGCACACTTACGCTCCCCCCAGTGGCGTATTTAGACTTACTTCTAGGGGGGGGGGGTCTCAATTTTCTTTTTTTAATTCGGGCTCAAAATGTTCAAGTAAAATTGTTGATAATCATTTTAAATCAGACGAATCGTTAATAATTGTGGTTTTTTTTTTTCATTCTAATTCCGGATCCATTTGGAATCGACTTTTGTGTAGTTCTTTTTTAACACCTGTCTGTATTTTGAAAGTTGCACTTGTGTTTTATTTGATTTTTCACTAAGTATGTGCCCGACCAAAAGCCTAATTCAATATTCACTGTCACGCGTGATTTGATTTTGTTATAAATTGATCCACATAAAAAAATTTTAAATGTGTATCTCACGTATAATAGAATCCTTAAATACGGTTTCAGGGGGAGCGATCACCTCCATCACACCCGCTTAAAATACGACCCTGGATCCTCCTTTCCTATCCGAACTCGTTGCGCAGAGATCGTCGCATATCGCGGTTACGCGCTCGTGTTATATAGTTATCGTAGTTTCGATTTTTCTATGTTTACCTTAACCGGTTTATCGTTCTCCAGACAGTAGTTGGGTAATTTGAGCACGTCCGCCCCGATGCTGGTCTCTTCTCCGGAATTCGCTATGCTTTTTACGTAGACGTTTTTCCCGGACAGCCTTTTCACGAGAATGTTCCCTTGATCGTCCATTTTCACTTTGACGCCCTGCGAAGACACGACGCAAACACGGTTAACAATATTCGTATTACGTATATTTTTTTTTGATTTTTTTTTTACGTGCATTAAAAAGACAATCTGTGAAATGTACACGACAAGTAGTTTTGATATTAACGAGGACACGAGTAGGAACAGGTCAATAGACCCCACACAAGTCATCGTTATCGTTTATTTTTGTATTGTAATTTTGACAGTTTTTTTTTCTTTTCGCAACATTTATACGTGAACTTTTGTACGTTTCAAATGCGCTCACCCGGGTCTTATTATGTATACCCGTTGTTTATCACATTAGAACACTACATAATATTTGTACGCATTTGATGCTGCGGTCAGAATTTTAGCTCCTCCTTCCTCACATGTTATTGAGTACATCTCGTTCATGTACACGTCAATTTATATATTAAATAATTATGATTTGTATATAAAATATAATACTGGTTGATTTTCTTTTTTTTTTTATTTCTACTCACAAGGCCCACTTGTTTTTTCACTTCTTCGGTCTTTGGGTCCCGCATCGGATTGTCAAAGCCGTTCACGCCAATCCTGAAACAACAAGTCGATAGAATGTAGCACTTCTGGTTTTATACACGTAACGTATAGTATACACATAATGTAATAATTCACAATGCTCTTTTTGGCATCGTAATTTGTACACACGCGCCGGCATACGTATAATATATACATAAAACTACATCGGTATAATTTCGGGTGGACTTGTATGACATCAAAACCGTAAAAAAAAAAAAAAAAAAAAAAAACCCCAAAAAATAATAACGCGGATAAACTATTTGAATATATAATACGTTATGTGCACCGTGCAGTACGGCGCGCCCGCTAATGTATTCAAGCACATCTTTTCGCGACGTACATGTAAATCATTACGAAAATTATACATGCACGTGTTAGAAGAAAAGAAACGACGCGAATCCAATCGATTTCGTACACCAATACACCGGAATGAGATTATCCGTGTTCCGGTAAAATTACGATCTACGCGTATTACGTTGTGCACACACGGCGCGCGCGCACTCGCGTATTACAAGTTTGTGATGTACACACGGTCGGATGCGTCATTATTTTCTTAGCGCGGCATGAACGCAATAAAATGTCGTACGCGCAACTTATACGAAACCCGACGAAACCTTGACGAAGATAATGCGGACTGTACGGCCGCGAACTGTTATCGATCGCGAGAAATCCAACTTCGCAACACAATGCGTCCCTCCGCGGCTCTGGTGCCGTTGGTGGCGGACGAGACACGAGTATTTATCACGAACGCGTGTCATGAACGCCGCGGCATGAAAACGCGTCGCGATCCGTACGGAATCGAAAACGTGATCGAAGCGAATCGCCACGAGGCTCCGCGGCGATCTTCTCTTTTTCTAATAATTCTTTTCGTTTTCATCCCCCCGCGGGAACCGTATTCGAAAACTTTTCGAAAAACGGTACGGCGCACGCGCTCGGGACACCAATGCCGTCGGAAGAGAATGAATTCGCACCGATGCACACGCGCGCGCGTTTAGCTGCGGCGATCGGTTGCCGTGTGCGACAATCGCGTCGCGTACGATTTGTCGCCGGCCCACGCGCGAAAGCAGCTGAAACGCGCATTGTGTCGTTCATTGCGGTCGACACCCGCGACCGTTGAAATACGGTCTTGGAACGGAGCGACGCGTCCGATTATAACATTTCTCTTTCGGCCGACGACAACGAATCGCGTACGTCCTATCACGTATCGGTATTGTACGGCACGCGTGACGTCGATACACGAGTCCGCCAAAGGTTGCGCAACGGACGAGTATCGAAAAATATCGTCCACCGAAACGAGCCGAGAACGAATCGCGTTACGCGACGTGTTGTACGCCGTCAACTCCGGTACACCCACCGCGTCCCGGGGATGACGAAACCTGTGACGACGGAAAACGTATAATCGAGTTGTTTCATCTCGCGTGTGTCCGTCCGTGTTACTGGATTACGTGCACAGCGAACGGTCGTCGCAATACTCGAGACAGAACCGAATAATAATAACGAGATCTTAATTACGCGTACAACGTAATTGTGTATTATATTGTTCGTGTGAATATTTATGTTTCGAGCGGGATTATGTAGACGAGTGGAATTATTTACGTAATGACGCGCGGAGTACACAATACACCGCGGTGTAGATGGAGAACCGTCGGGCTCGTTTTTGTCGACACCACGTATACTATCACGATAACCGTACGGTGGTGTGTTGATTTGCATTGGCGACGGGTAACAACGCTTTAAGGACCGTGGCCGGCGAACGGGGCCGGATGCATTTATCGAACGGCCGGGAGAGACGGTCGCGCGGCAGGAGGACACCGTACCACGAGGATGCCAGGACGCGTTCATCGTTCCCGAGCCGTAAACCACACGCCCCCGGTGCTCGTTTCGGTCGTTTCGATTTGTTTTTCTCGCGGTAACCCGGTTTCGAAGAACATAAGCGTTTTCACGCCCGCGTAACGTTTCTCGCGTTACCGTTTCTTATCGCGGGCGCGACGCGGCGGATCTTCTTGTACGACGACCGTCGAAACGTTTCACGGGCGGCGCCGCCCGGCGGAGGCGAAACGGTGGCGGAACGCGTCGCGCCTCCGTTCGCGATATTTCCCAACGGTAGCGGCGGATCGCGCGTCGGCGGATTTCCATAACGTAATCGCCGTTGAGCAACGGGCCGTGCGACGGGACACCGATGCCAACTCTTCGGGTTCTCGTTGTTAATAACCGTTGCTATTAGTGTTTTGTTGGCATTTTTTTGTTTTTAATTGTTTTAATTTTTCGTATCACGAACGGACGCGCGCACACGACCGATATAGCGCACGTCGTTCGTGTGCGCTAACGTATACATATATATATATATATATATATATTAATAATTTAATACGTATAATTATTATGCACACTCATACACTAATATCTAGAACAACAAGGACGCGCGCGCGCGCACCGTCGTCGTATTGTGCAACACTGACCCAGTCTACACGCGCGCGTCCAACGCTTTCACCGGGCGCACGTAGGGGTACCCCCACCCACACCCCCCCACGAGACAGCTGTAGTGGTGTACCGCGGTACACCCATTGTTCGCCGTTCTTATGCGGCCGCAATAAACGCGACGAACGCGGGTCGGATTCGGTTGCAAATTGTAACCGTGATGCGTGCACCACGTAGTGCAACGGTAACAATAATATTTCGTGATGGCGCGACGACGGGGCGTTCGAATCGGTAAAAGTAAAGGTACCGTAGCGCGCGTGCCGTTGCTCGTCACCGTCGAGGACGTTGGCCACGGGTTTTGAAAAACGCATGCGACGCGTCGACGGAACGCGCTCGGGCAGACGACCGCCGAGTGCCCCGCAGACCCGGTAGATCGGTTCGGTGAACCGAACGTCCGATGAACGCGTCCGTAAGGCTGTTGGCGGTTGGTCACGTTCAGACCGAAAGTGCGAAACGGACGAAGGACGTACGGATCTCGCGAAAGGATTCCGCCGGACACGATCAGCCTCTTCGGCGCGCGCGCGCGCGATTTCTCATCCCGACCGGACGTTCGCGCCGGATGCGTATTGATCACCGGTCATCGAAGTTCGACGTCAAGTCGTCCGCCGATCGGTGCCCGCCAAAAGTCGAACGCGTAATCGGTGCCGCTCGATCGAGTCCCGTGACGAATTCGACCGGTAAAACGATCGTTTTCCAAAACAAACGTGTGCGCGACAGCGCATTGTCGTCACCGCGCACGCGAACGGACACCGTTTGATTATAATCAATTAGCCGATTCGACGTACGGGCGCGCGCGCTCGCAACGATCACAACGGTTCGCCGCTTATGGTACATTACGCGTCTCGTACGGGCGCCCACCGTCGTTGCGCAACGCCGTTTTATAACGTCACGCCGCTGTTGATCCGTGTTTCGCGTACTCTCGTTTTCCGATCTCATCGCGCGCTCCAATAGATCGGACGCCCACCGCACCGTTGCCGCGGATTGCATCCCGGTGAACAATAATCGTCGTACGCGTCGTACCGTCGGCTGGGCGCTACGTAACGATACGCGAGTGTAACACTCGTAAAAGTTAATCGATAATCGATGCGCGTCCGTTACGTGAACATTGAACGCGCGCGAACGGTCACGAAGACACCGCTAACGCGTTCGCGGTTGTCACGTCGCGAATACCCATCGTGGTACCGGCGAAAACGGCCAAAAACGCCTACGGCCATGGTGCGCGGATTTCGAAACGGCCGTTGCGCGTTCGCTGCTGCTTCGAGTGCGGGACAACGGTCAGCGATCACAGATAGTATTGTAAGCGAGCGACAAGATTCCAGACGAAAAGCAAGTGGGACGGTGTAAAGAAAAAAAACATTTGTCGACGACGAAATCGACGGAATGGCGTGCGTCTTGCAGTCGGTCAGTCGTACACGAGTAACACACGGTGTAGCGCGCGCGCCTGCCGCTGAGGTTGCACAATTATCGTATTGAATAGGTACGCGCGCAATGTCCAAGAACCCGCGAAACACGCATTACCGCGGATTGAAGATTAATAAAAAAGAACAATGGGAAAGCGAACGGATCACTACAAGCTCTACAACGAAACGTTTCTTAAAAAGAGCGGTCGCACACGATGGCGTATAACGGTTACGCGTTGCGTTACCACCAGCAGCGGACTACACGACATCGTCGTCGTTGTTGTTGTTGTTGTTGTTTTGCGTACGCAAAAAGTGGTTTAGAATGAAAAAAAAATTAACAAGCACGCACACACAACGGAACCGAGGATAATAGACCAACGGCAACGGGGTAATAGCAACAATTGATGACGTGAACCCTTGAGCCTAATGCCCTTGGCGCGCGCGATAAACCCCGGTTCGATGCGGGGTTATGAAAATGTTACGGGGGTCGGTTTCGCGCGTTCGTTTTACTCGTCCGGATTTCGTGCCGCGTAAAAAAAAAACTCCTGAGAAACGCGTAACGCGCGTCGATTCGGGTGACGATTGCAGGACGTCCGCTCCTTAACTCGACCGTTGCTCGCGAAATCGCAGAAGACGATCAGCGGCGGTCGAGACGAGCATTAAGGAGACATTCCGATCGCATATGATTACCGTGAGACGTCGTCCACTACCATCTATTCGATTGCTACTTCATCACGTACAAGAGAACGACCCGTTCGTCCTATCCCCCCCCCGCGCTCCGATACGTCACGACTGATTCGCAGGAAACACGTTGCACTGCGGTCTTAGAAGTCACCCCCGCGCGACAATCGTCGCGGTTGTCAAGGTATCTGAAAAGCTATTCTGATCCTTGGTTTGAAAAAAACTCAAGACCAATATCATTCGATTCGAATTTTCATCCCTTGACGGATTGATTTTTTTTTTATATTTCGAACGAAAAAACGTAATTCATTGCATTATTCTCGTACATATTCGTTATTGTATATCGTTACGAATAAAATCTGTGTACACATTTTACGCCTTGTTTGTCGATTTTTTTTTCCCAATTTATTGTTGTTCAGTCGATTTCCATTTCAACTGCTATAACATGCCGTATAA